TGTGTGTGTGTGTGTGTGTGTGTGTGTGTGTGTGTGTGTGTATGTGTGTGTTTGTGTGTTCTTTTATTTTGTTTTTGTTATTATTTTTATCTGTGTTATAAATAAACAATAGCCTCCATTTGGCGCGAAGATATGCTCGGATATTTGTCCGCGGACATTACCCTATACCTGTTCCGAGAAGCGAACAGTTTTCCGAGAGCGTAGCTCGAGGAAAACTGTGAACTCTGAGGAACAGATAATGTCCAAGGACAAATATCCCAGCCTATTTTCAAAGTCAAATGGAGGCTATTGTGTTTATTATTCTTCAAATATTTTTCGCAACACGCGCGGTTTTGAAAATTAGGGAATACCCTCGGATATTACCCAGTTTTAGCTGTGGAATATTCGGTCACGTGACGAGTTTAGAACAATCGCGCGCGAACGAAAATATTTGATAGATAATAATTAGCAATAAAGGTTGTACCAGTTGTAATTAAACGCTTTCAGATAGAAACCAGCCAGTGGATTCTTACGAGATAAAACCAGCCATGAAATAGCGAAAATCGTACTCCAGAAAGCTTTGGTAGTAATCCAGGCGATCGGGTAGTTGGAGAGCAGTGCAAAATAACGGCGAAAAAGAATAAAATAACAGAGTCTGATCATGAAGAGAGCAGTGCGACAAGGGAAAGCGAGAGTTTAGTCTGTGCATTTTTAGCAAAAATTCTTTCTCCCTACTGATTGACTGTTTATAATATGATCGCCAATTTTCTCGGCTGGTGGTGTTCATTTGTCCGATACCAGTCAAAACAGAGTAACCGAGCGCCTCGAATGGGATAAAAATTCCAGCCAATCAATTTGTGTGTCTCCAGCACTTCCCTTTCCTCGAACCAAGACCTCGCGGCTAATTGGAACTGGTGGTACTGGAAATGAGAACTGGTACAGCTTTACCGCATGCGACAAGGTTACAACAAGTGTACGACACGTATGGTTTCATGTAGATCAAACATTTGACTTGGCAAGAAAGTTAATGGAGACAAAAACTTTTTTTTAACGTGCCTATATGTGACTCGTAGTCCTATTTCTGCCGACGTCAACTCTATGAGCATAGATGAAAGCGAAAAAAAATGCGCAGACAAATTTCACTGTGAGAAAAAAATCTTTGGTTATTCAGTAAGCTGGAAAAGTAAAAGGTTTTATAAAAGATGTAGGTTTGATCTACACGAAACAACTCGTGTTATACACTCGTCGTAAGCTTGTCGAATGCGGCAAACTTGTACCGCCTAAATTGGCACTATTCTAATATCATCTAACTTGGCAACCACTATATTTCCCTGCTTGTTCAACCGGTGTCAGGTGGCTACTTCTTGCTCTGCTGGCTGCCTGGTACAATGCTCATGTTCCACTCCAGCCCTGGTCTCACCTTGAGGCTGAAACAAAGGTTTTAAAACATCAGTGCACGATAATTGCTATGCTTAGTGCTTTTCTATTGAATGTGCATAACTGCTCTTCTT